AGGATGTAATAGAACATTCACAATAAAGGCAAGTTATTCCGCTGATTAATTGTTCTAACTGTCAGGAAATTTCTCCTTAGTTCTAGGTTGCTTCTCTTCTTGATTAGTTTCCATCCATTGCTTCTTGTCCTGCCCTCAGGTGCTTTGTAGAATAGCTTGACTCCCTCTTCTTTGAAGGGAAAGGGGGTACCTGACTGAAACCTTTACATATATTAAGCGTGTGAATATGTTCTAGAAGATGGTATTTTCAATATTAAGCAAAAATAAAGAACACAGGGGATAACTTCAAACAGACAGGAGGGAAGTTCAAAAGTAATGTTACAAAGTATTCTCAGAAAGAATGGAAGCTTGGAACCAACTTCCAGCGGAGGTAGTGGGTCAATCATCATAAACTGAGTTTAAACATGTTTGGGATAAACGAGATGTCTTATTATTTCACAAAAATTAATAAATACATAAATATAAAATCAATAATAAAAATTCTATTCTTTGTTTTCAATCACTCTATATTTGCAATGGATAAACACTTTTTTTCCTAGTAGTTCTGCAGCTCCTGGCGCTGGTTGCCCAGCCAGCAATCCTGAGTCCCATAGCCCATTTTCACCAGATATCGAGGAATTCCAACATCTAGTGCAGACCTTGTTAACCCGGGCAACATCCGAGTCAGTATGGGTTTTTGAAATTTAGGTCTCACTGTAATTTTTTTTAATGGGAGAGAAACTCTTTGTCTGACTCCTCTGATGAGACCTGTTCAATATGGCTGAACCTCTGGTATAGCTCTTATCTTCCTCAGAGTACAGAAGCCCCACAACCACATCAAGGGATTCAAATAGACAGGCAACTGCCACATAACACCGCAGACCTAACAATTGTCAAAGAAAGACAAAAAAAAAGTCTGGATAGTGGATATGGGAGTATCTGGAGATAGCAGAAGAGAAGAGAGAGAACTGGAGAAGATAACAAAATACAAAGACCTACAAATAGAAATAGAACAACTGGCAAAGTCAAGCAAGGGTAATAATAGTAATAGGTGCCTTGGGTGCCATCCTAAAACAACTGGAGCAGCACTTCAACACCATTGGCACTGACAAATTCGCCATCAGTCAATTGCAAAAGGAGCTTTACTTAGAACAGCTTCCATCCTGCAACAATATCTGTAACACCATCAAACATTCAGATCTGCCTATCCCAGGTTCTTGGTAACGACTAGATAGGTAGAAAAAAAATGTGAAACCCAGTCTGAACATCTGGCTGATGAACAACAATAATAATAAAATAAATAAAAATAAAGTAATAATTAAAAAAGGACCTTTGAGAGCAAAAACCCTACAACCAGAGTGTAACCTGTCAAAATGTTAAGGTAGAGCCATGGTTATCATGGCAGCAGTGAAATGCCGAGCAATTCCAATATAAATATTCAAAATAACTTTTAGGACTTCTCAATCCCATATTCAAGGCCACCTCTACCAGGTGAGGAATGGAAACTGTCGGGTACAGGGTAGGCGATGCATCACCAGAATCTTCCATTTGTCTTGAGTGTTCAATCAAAATTGCAATCTGTTGTGTTGAATGGACAGGAATCCCGAGGAGAGAAATAAAAAACTTATTTATTAGACTTAAAATCACCACCCTGCAGATGGGGGAAGATTGATAAGAAAGTGGTAGTGATTGATTATGGAATGCCCAGGGGTGGGCTTCAAAAATTTTAGCAATGGGTTCTCTGCCCGGTTGCTGGATGGGCATGGTGGACATGACCTAGTTGGCCTCCTGCACCACGGTGGGGGGTGTCTTTGCCCTCCCGAGGCTCTGGAAGCTTTCCTCAAGCTTCTGGGAGGGCAAAAATGGCCTCCCCAGGCTCCGGAGGCCCTTTGGAGGCCAGAAATGGGCCCGTTTCTGGCCTTCCCGAACTTCCAGTAGGCCCGTTTTTTGCTTTCCCCTAGCCTCCGTGCGTGCCCTGCGCTTACCTGCATCCAAAACGGGCTGCATGGAGGTTCCTGGGGGGGCGGGGGAGCGGGGGCAGCCAGGATGGGATTTGGAGGTTCTCCGAACTGCACAGAATCTTAGCTAGAGGTTCTCTCAAACCCCTGCGAACCCCCAGCAGCCCACCCCTGGGAATGTCTTAAAGCAGTGGTTCTCAACCTTCCTAATGCCGCGACCTTTTAATACAGTTCCTCATGTTGTGGTGACCCCCAACCAGGGGTGGGTTCTAAATTTTTTTACTACCGGTTCTGTGGGCATGGCTTATTTTGTGGGCGTGACTTGGAGGTCATGTGACTGGGTGGGCGTGGCTAGCTGGTCATGTGACCGGGTGGCCATGGCTATGTGTATAGGGACTACTCAGAGGGCTGAAAAAAGTCATTTCTGACAGGTCCTCGCACTTTTGACTGGTCCTCACACTTATGACCATCCTCACATTTATGCCCGTGCAGCTTTCTTAACAACCATGTCACTCATTTCACAACTGCTTCTTTTCACCATGGTGATAAGATAGGGCAAAAAACATAAAATGTGAGGATAGTTGTAAATTCGAGATCTGGTCAAAAGTGCGAGGACCAGTCAAAAATAACTTTTTCAGCCCTCTGAGTAGTCCATGTGCACAAAAGGACTACCCAGAGGGCTGAAAAAGTGATTTCTGACAGGTCCTCGCACTTTTGACTGGTCTTTGCACTTATGACTGGTCATCATTTATGCCCATTGTAGCATTCTTAACAACTGTGTCACTCATTTCACAATTGCTTCTCTTCACCATAGTGACAAGATAGGGCAAAAATGTAAAATGTGAGGACAGTTGTAAGTTCGAGGACTGGTCAAAAGTGCAAGGACCAGTCAGAAATAACTTTTTCAGCCCTCTGAGTAGTCCATATGCATAAAAGGATACAGCAATAAAGAGGGATGAAGGAAGGGAAGGGAAATTAGAGTAGGAGTGAGGGTAAGAGAGGGAGGAAGAGAGGAGGAGAAGGAGAAAGGAAGAGGAAGTAGGGAGGAGAAGAAGAGGGGCAGGAAGAGAAAGTAAGAAGGAAAGAAAAGAGAGAGGTGGTAGGTTTGAGGAGAAAGATTGCTGTACAATAAAAAAGATGAAAGGGAAGAAAGCCAACCTCAAACAAATATAAAGATATTAAGATAAAGAGTGAATTGTTAAACTTTAAGGAATAAAAGAGAATAAATATGAATAAATAACAATAATTAGAAACACACATACAAACATACAATGTATTTTCTTTTGTGGGAAGTTAGCACCCACCCCTTTCCTGGAAGAGTGAAATATTTTAGGAAATATGAAAAAGGCAGAATATTATATTTCCCTGGGATAAGCATGTTTTGAAGCAGCTCCCATCTTCCTGCCCCCACCCTTTGTCAATGGGCCATTAAAGCCTGGGCCAGTCTATTCTACATAACAAAGATCTACCTCCTTCAGGCAGAGCCATAGTAGGAATTGCCCAAGATCCAATAAAGATAGGATTAGCCCTCTACCCATCTAGCAACAGAAACTCACCACACGTGACCTGGGAAGCACATGTGACCATCAGCCAGAAGGCTAGCTAAGACCCCCACCTCCTGGGAGTCTGACAACCAATCAGGATACTCTTTCGTGGCCCCAAGAAATGCAGAGCCAGAGAGAGCATAAAAACCCGAGGATTTACTGTATCTGCCCCTTTTCTGTTCAGGAACTCAAGCCATGTGATCCTGTCCACCATTAAACCATCTTTCCAAGCAGTCTCCATGTTTCCAGTGTCTTTTTCCCCACTTGGAGCAGAACCTAGAAGGAGATTTCTTCCAACACTTTGAACAGAGTATTTGGCCGGTTCACAAATTTAAACAGTGTTTAGTCATTTCAATTAAATTTACAATTTCTATATTTCCTTTTTGCCATATTTATTCCTCATCTATTTTTGTAAAAAACCAATATTACCCTTCATCATCTCTAATCTTAATCAAATTCAATTTTTCCCTTCTATTCTATATTATGCCCCTTCCCATTGTCATCTATTTTTATATCCATCCTCACATTGGTTAATTATGTAATATTACAGTTGTTTAATATAAATTCAACATTTTAATATAAATCAATTAGTTATATAACTACCTTTTTTGTATATTAATCAATATGAACATGAATATTCCAATTATTTCCATGCAATCCAATTTCTTACAAATCAATTAATTATATTTACCAATAATAATAAACCAAATAATTTCCCCCATATATTCCTCCAAACCACAACTTAACCATTTCTGCTTTCAACACAATATACAATTAATAGTATCTCAATTATTACAATTCCCTAGTTAAATAGAGCTTTTTTTCTTTTGTGTTTTAAAATCTTGAACTCTCCTCTTTTGCCCTAAATTTCCCATTGTTTGCACCTACCTTTTTTGGTGAGGAAAAAGAAAAGAAATCCGCCTGCCTAATTTTCCAACTTGCAGCAACAGCAAAGCCAACAGCCTCTTTACTTTCAGTTTTGTTTTTCAGCATAGCTAGGGGAAAAAAATCAGCACTCTTTGCAAGCAAGCAGCAGAGCCCTGAGCAAAACAAACTGAGAGCAAATCAGCTGAGGGTCGGGAGCCGATCTAATCCAGGGCTAATTAGCCTATGCTGAAGATCCGCGGGCCAATAAAATTACAAAAAAATACCGAACCATTTGTTAAATTGCTGGCTCACCTGCCCCTCGCCCACCACTATTTATTGGCAATAAATAGTGGTGCGGAGGGGCGGGCAAGCCAGCAATTTAACAAACGGTTCGGCTGCACGACTGGCTATAGGGCGGCCCTTTGAAGCCCTGTGGCAAGAATTTAAACCATTTTTTTTCCCTCTAGCCATCAGCTGGGACTCAGGAAGCAGCAATAGATTGGGAGTGGGCAGGGTAAGCGAACGGCTGGCGATCCAACAGAGGCAGAGGGTGAGGGTGAGTGAAGGCGTGGGGGGGAGGCGAGAGAGGGCTTTGGCGACCCCTGTGAAATGGCCGTTCGACCCCCAAAGGGTCTTAAAGGAACAGGATTACCTAGTTACTTCTTATACTGGGATTCCAATCCAAGCATAAGATGGATGGTCCGTCTCACTCCAATGGATGACCTTTGTCATGACCCAGTTGAGGGGAGTGGATGTGTTGCTTCTGGTCTTAGTTTTCTCAGCAGCATTCACTACTGACCATGGTATCCTTCAGGATTTCTGTGGAATCAGGCTGAAGTTGCCATGGAAACCTTGATCCAGTGCCTAGAAGCTGTTAAATTCAAAATGAGAAAAAGCAATCTCAGTCTGAATCCTCTCAAATTGCTGTTTATTTAGAAGGGCTCTGGCTATAATTATAGAGGGGGTGGGACTATACAGGAAAAGGTTCTTAGGTGCTTGGGGCTCTTCTTAGAATCATAGCTAAAGTTTCGGCAAATGAAGGCTGTGCCCAGGAAGGCCTTTGCTTAATTTCAGCTGGTTGTGCCAGTTACAGCTGGTTGTGCCAGTTACAGCTCTACTAGGAGCAGGAGGCCCTGGCAATAGTGTTCCATGCTTGTATCAGAACACAACTGGACTATTCTCCAGCACTTTACAGTGGACTGCCTTTGAAGACCATTTTGAAGCAGAAATTGGCTTGCTGGCAAACAAGAATAGCCATTTAGCTCCTGGTTGCTAATAGGTTTTCAAGTGCAATTCAAAGTGTTGTTGAATTATAAAGCCCAATATGCATTGACTCCTAGGCTTCAGAAGTACTTCAGGACTGACCTCTTTAGTTCTTTGGTGTGCAGTCCCAAGTAAAAATTGTTAATAGTCTCCCATTATGCAGAGAATAAGGGGGGGATTGAACTAACAGACAATGTTTTTCTATGGCACTCCATCAATTATGAAACAGCTTCTCTGTTGAGAAGACCATTCTAATGGATTCTGAATACTAGTAAAAATGAAGCTTTCCCAGAGAACATTTGGAGAATGATGAATGTGCACAATCTGTATTGCTGTAATGAATTATTATGATTATGATTATATTTTGGTCTTAGTTTTAATATGTTTTTGTTGTTGTAAACTGATGGAAGTGTGCACAAATCACAACATGGTACATAAATGGCAGAAATAAATAAAACATGCATAATGTACAAGAAACACATATAAAACAAGATCATATTAACTTGATAAAGCAAAACAAAACAAAATAGGACCAATATTCAGCAGCAGGAAAGGCAAAGAAAAGTGGAGCAGTAATTTATCTGAAATCATCTTGGGAGGTACTGGAACCATGAAAAGACAAAGAAGGAAGAATTTTAATTCTGAAATTAAGAAAAGAAGATAGAATTTTAACACTGTCTTCCATCTATGTCCCATATAAGGTCCAGGAATAATTTTAGGAAAATTTTTGCAATAATACAAATCATGGAAATAGAAATAACCATTGTTGTAAATATTAACAGAGTGCTAGATTTGAAGGCAGACAAATCATTTCAAGGGGGGAAAAAGAGGAAAACATCTGAGAAATGTTTTCAGTATATGAATACATTCTTTGATAAATGTTGGACACAAAAAAAAAATCCAGAAGATGCAACCCATTCTCAGCAAGACATCAAATGTACGCAAGAAGTGTTTGTTGGGTCTCCAAGGCTCTCACACATTCCACAAGGAAATGAAGATACTTTCAATGACATATGTAATTTTATTATTTATTTATTTCTTATACTTATATGCCGCCCTTCTCCCAAAGGACTCGGGACGGCTCACAGAAATTAAAATGACGAAAACAATAAAAATAACTACTAAAATAATCAATTAAAATCTCCCAATTAAAAATCACCCATCAGATCAGCAAATTTGTTGGAAAAGCCATGTCTTCAGGTCACGGAAAGAGCGGAGGTTGGGGGCCGTCTGGAGCCCCGTGGGTAACCCATTCCAGAGGGTCAGTGCGCCCACAGAGAACGCCCTCATCCTGGGCGCCACCAGCCGACATTGTCTGGCCGATGGCACCCAGAGGAGGGCAGTCCTATGTGAGCGCACAGGGCAGTGGGAGGCAGGCAGAAGGTGGTCCTGCAGGTACCCCGGGCCCATGCCATGTAGGGCTTTATATAGGGCACCTTGAAATGGATCCGAAGGACCACCGGTAACCAGTGCAGCTCGCGCAGGAGAGGTGTAACACAGGAGTAACGGGAAGCTCCTGTAACAACCTGCGCGGCCGCATTCTGGACCAGCTGGAGCCTCCGGGTACACCCCAAGGGCAGCCCCATGTAAAGGGCATTGCAGTAGTCCAAACGAGAGATAACGAGAGATTATCATGGTTCCAAGGGGAATAAATGGCACATAAAATTGCACATAAAGGAATAAATGGCATGCAGTTACTCCAAGGAGGTATATTAGCAAAGTCTTATGAAAGCAGCCATCTTCATCAGGATCCCAGCCTTCTCTGTGGAAAATGATTAGGTGTCCTGCTGTTTTCTTCCTTCCAATCTTAAAAAGTAAATATCCATGCTAACCTAATCAAGGTCAGAGCCACCCCATAGATTGGTGGTAATGACTTAGCCCCTTTCACTCCAGATCTACAGGGGAACTAAAAAAAAACCCAAACAAATCAGAGAAAGACTGCCTCAATGGCTACTCTTTTCACAAAGCTGTTCTGTGTGGTACTCCTGTTTCTCACAGAAGTATTACATTCAGGACAGTATTCTGGAAGAAGGGTTAACACTATGGTAATAATCTTTCCATGTCTCCAGAAATTGATCAGCAGAAGGTCTGTGTAACTTAATATTAAACAGAGCCTGGCTTGGGTTAAAACTGAGTCCTAACCCATGGATGGTTGTGTTTGCTCTATGCAGGGCATATCACCCCTCCACCTATCCCCACATTCAGCATTTCTTATCACTGTTTCTTTTTTTAATTAGTTTATAGTATAAGATACAAAACTACAAAAACACATAGTAGGGAAATAGGGGAGGGAAAAGGGAAGGGAAAAGTGCAGAAAAGAAGGGGAAAAGAAAGAAATGGCGTTCACTTGCGACTCCCTTTGGTGCAGTAAAATAAGACAGTAACATCAAACCTCAACATTTTACATTTACATAGCATAAACTAGCCATTTCTATATCAATTCTATCTATTCATTCAGCATTTCTTATGAATGAGTTCATCATGTTTGATTTTCTTTCCCTCTGTGCTGAACTTTATTTATTATGCCTTTTATCTGTTGAATTTCTACCCTTGTTTTCTCCATCAAAGCAGCTTATAGTGATAAAAGCATCACAAAGTCCAAAGTAAACATTGATACAGAACTAAAATTAAGTGCTGGAATCATTTAAAGACAATATTGGAATAAGATTAGCATGTTGATTTTGATATGGCATTTGGGAGCGTTAAACTAGCAATGATTTTAAAAGACTATGGAGATTCTCTCCCTGCCCACCCCCAAAGTTTTGGGATGAATGTCCTGACAGCAGCTGTCTGGAACGGCTGTACAAGAATATGAGCTCCGAGAAGTCTCTTCTCAGCCAAAGTTTCTGCCACCAGCTTGCTGCAAAACAGGGTGTCCATGCCCCCCTCCCTTTCACTTGTGCTTCAAAGCTTCCGAGAAATTAGACAAGGTGAGAGCCAAGCCACTCCTTGAGCAGCTGTCCAATAAAGCCGAAAAGAGCATGATTCTAAGTAGCATCAGATTCTCTGCAAAGAAACAGCTGCATGATGATACTTAAGGCTCTAACTTCTTGTGTGGTGCGAACAAATATACAAGGTAAGAACTTTTTAAAATCCCAGAAGGAAGGCAGGTTCCGAGAGAAGTTTCCAACACAGTTAATTGTGAAGAGGGCATCCATAAAATGCTTTCCTCAGAATATCTAAATATATGCAAAGATAGACCTTTCTACTTCTTGATTCACCTAACTCTTGACAACTAACTCTGACTTGTTTTTAAGCTCATAGGCAAACCAGTATTTAATGCTAACACACATAATAGAGGTCTGTCAGATAACTTTTTTTAAAATTAAAAAAAAAGAAAACTGTTTCAATAGATAAACCTTTTCTGTGTGAACGTGGCAACACTATGTAACAAAGAGTTACATAACTCTTTAACTGGTCAGTCCCTGTGGAGTTGTTTTTCCTATCTTTACATAAGATTGTAAATAATTACTTTGCAAAAGCAAATGTATAGTTGAAACCACACAGGCATTTTGAAGTAGAGGGGTGCAATTTGGCCATTAGAAAAAAAGGTTTACTTCTTTCTTCCACTCAAAATAGTCCTTGAGCATTTATCTTTCTCTTTTCTTAAATATTTGGCCTATGGTCCACAGCAAGCTTCTAAGGCCAAGAGTAGATTTGAATCTAGATGCTTTTGCCCCTAACCCAACACTGATTAAAGCTTAAGATATAGTCTTATATGTTCTCTACAAAGTCCTTAAGTGGTGGTTCTTTCCCACTCACGGATAATATTCAGTGACAAGGACCTCCATGTTGGAAAGATACATGCCATTTATTTATTTATTTATTTAAAACATATAGCTGCCCATCTAACCAATTTTGGGTGATTCCTAATCAAAGATTAAAAAAAACACATTTACAATTATTTTAAAAACTACAAACACAACTAATTAAACATTAAAAACAACAACTTTCCCTGTACCTTGATTTAGTGATGGCAGCTGCTCTATTCTACGTCACCCTTTATTTTATTTATTTATTTATTTTGTTGAGTACATGTTAGATAATATATATAAGTATAAGCATGAATTGAATACATAAAATGAATACAATTAAAGGGAACATTAGGACAGGAACGGTAGGCACGCTGGTGTTCTTATGCACGCCCCTTTCTTTCCAGTGAAAGAAAGAAAGAAACAATGATCTTCCTACCTTAGTATAATCGGCCTCTGGACTAGGCCACTGCTATCTGTTTCTGCCTGGTTGATGCCCTGCTTCCTTCTGACTTCCTTTGTTTTTGTTACAGCTTAGATGCTGATCCACAATGGATTCAGAAAGGATTATTTATAAGGCATATTATTGAATGTATTTTGGCTGATGGGGAATTCATAGGAATGGGAATCTTAAATAGTAGGAATGGGAAGGGGCAGAAGTCAATCATTGTGGAAGAAAATAGAATGATCCAATGGCTCAGAAGATTTACTGGGCTGAAAAGAAAACGGGCCCAAGCAATGTGGCCAATTTAACCTAGTTTTTAAAAGTTTGCAAAAACCACAGTGCTATCTACTTTCAGTTATGCATAAGTGAAATATTCTCAAGAACTTCTGCAGGTTACATTCAGTTCAAAAGAAAACATTTCAAGCTATGTGCTGACACACAAAAATATATCCCGCTGCCTCTTATGATAGTGGAAATTCAGCTAAAATATATATCATTAGTTGGAAAAGATATTGACAATCCAAGGGTCTGAAAACTGGTAACAAATGGTGTTACTAAGCTATTAGAAGGGCAGCTTCTTTCCAAAGACCTATTGCTTGAATGTGGGGAATGAAAAAAGTACATAAGTTTTTACAAATAGGATTTATAGGACCCCCTCTCTGAATCACATTCAGACAACATACAGAATCATATAACAGTGTTAGAAGCAGGAGACAAATTAGGAAACTGGTTGAACTAGTAAAGGACAAGAGAGTTAAAGAACTGTTAAGTAGTTTTCAAATTGTCTGAATTTGGTTTTTTCTGTAGATATCTATGGCAGATTACTTTGTTCTGAGATAGTGGAAAAAACAAATGGAACATTAAAATGCATTGGCAAATTGAAAAAAGTGACTTTTTCACATTTATGACCATTGCAGCATTCCCATGATCTGCTTGGGGATTTAGGTGCTTGACAACTGACTTACATTTATGATGGTTTCAGAGTCCCAGGGTCATGTGATCACCTTTTGCAACCTTCTGACAATTGAAGTCAATGGGGAAACCAGATTCACTTAATAACTGTGTTACTAATATAGCACCTGCAGTGATTCACTTAACAAATGTGGCAAAAGTCGTTAAATGGGGCAAAACTCACTTAATACATTTCTGACTTAGTAACATAAATTTTGGGCTCAATTGTGGTCGTAGGTTGAGGAGTACCTGTGTACATCAAACATGGAATGAGTTCATGTTCTCTTAAGCCATGCTTTATTTAACTATAACTGATTAAATGTATCACTGGATTCACACAGCAACCTAAGCAAAACACAAGCAAACATTGACCATAATGTGTGAATCCAAATGCACCCATCAAAGCTACTCATCAAGAGAAAGTTTCACATCCTTCCCCCTTGTGGTTTCTGAAAGCAGATATGCAGAGCAACACTATCTATATAAACCTCCTAAAGAACATTCAGTTTTCATTATTAAAGAAACATTAAGACAGAGAAATCTTTCGTTGCGAATGTTGAAGCTTGGATGCCAAGTAAACAGTGCTAGTTTCTAATTGGGTTTCAGGGAATTGGGGGCCTTTTAATGTGGCCTTGCCAGTTCTGAGTATTAATTAATAAGATGGCAGGAAAGGAGATAACTGCATATTGGATTGCAATGTATTTGTCAAAATTGCTGCTTAGCTACTCTCTTATCTTTTGATTGCTTAACCATGCTGGTGGGAGGGTTCGTGGGATTGAAAGATAGTGGCACAGTGACAAAATTACTTGAGTACATTTCCTAGAATATCTCAACATCTTTGCATTTTATCAAATTTTAATTGAAGGATAACCAGTAGGCTATCAAAATATCTCCAAACAAGTATTTCTCCATCATAGTCGGAACTTAAAATTGGAAGAGTACATTCAGAAATGGTTTAGAAAACAAACAAGGAGGAGGCTAGTTTAATATTAAGCTTTATTGCAGGCCTGTCAAACTGGTGGCCTGTGGGCTGAATGCGTCACTTGCAGGCCATGCCCACTCTGGCTCCGCAAAGGCAAAAAATGTCACGAGATGTCACAATATGTCAGGTGATGCAATCGAGTTTGACACCCGTGATTTATTGGAATAACAACATATAAAAACAGTCCAGATAAATATGTTTAGGATATTTACACTGTATATTTCAAGAAAACGCATTCACTTCCTCCACCCTATTTCACTGGTTCTCATTTATTTAACTTATTTAATTCATTTACAGGTAGTCCTCATCTTAAAACCATTCATTTAGTGACCGCTCAAAATTACAGCGGCAATGAAAAAAAGTGGCTTATGATCATTTTTCACACTTACAACCAGCGGTGAAATCCAGCCGGATCTATCCGGTTCACGCAAACTGGTAGCGCTGGTGGCGGGAGGCACTGTCCACCCGCTGGGACGTCATTACGTCCCAGCGGGTGGACGGGGGGCATGGGCAGAAGAGGCACACGCGCTCACTCTCCCAAACCGGTAGCGAAGGTAAGTGCATTTCACCACTGCTTACAACTGTTGCAGCATCCCCATGGTCACGTGATCAAAATTCAGATGCTTGGCAATTGGTTCATATTTATGACAGTTGCAGTCATGTGATAGATCACCTTTTGCTACCTTCTGACAAGCAAAATCAATGGGGAAGGCCAGATTCACGTAACATCTGAGCTACCAACATAACAACTATAGTGATTCATTTAACAACTGTGGCCAGGAAAGTCATAAAATGGGGCAAAACTCACTTAACGAATGCCTCGTTAGCAACAGAAATTTTGGGCTCAATTGTGGTGGTAAGTCGAGAACTACCGTAATTAGTTGAAAAGTCTTTGATTCAGTAAAAGCCCCCAGAGATGAGACTTCTCTAGAGTCTGGCGCTGACTAAAAACACCCCATATTGAAAACATCCAAATTTGGATTTTGGCCTGCAGCTTTTTCTGCCGGCCATAGAGTGCAGAGGAGTCCTCTCATCTCAGGAGCTGGCAGAAAAAGCTCCATGCTGAAATCCAAGCAGTGCAAAAACCAGCTCCATAAGGCCCAGAAATGTGATGCAAGGGGAGTTGTGGTGTGCTGTGGCCCCTTTAAGTTACTTTTGCATTTTCTTTTTTACTGTGCGCATCTAGCCTCATAAGTCCAGCAGCTAGGCCTGTGCATATCTTGACAGTAGTGGGAGCAAGAAGGCAGTGGCAAAAGTCACCTAGGGTGGTGGAGTGCAGAGAGGCAGGGGAGAGGGTTAAAGGGAAACAAATAGGGGGAGGTAAGTGGGCGGGGGAAGTTGCATCGGCCCTGTGATTGTACTTGAGGGTGGATTGTCAAGTGCCTGGATTTTGATCATGTGACCAATGGGGCACTGCAACAGCTGTAACTTTGGACAGGGGCCACAAATCCCTTTGTGTAAGTCCCTTTGTGTAAGTGTAATTTTGTGTAACTTTGTGTAACTTTGAACCATTACTGAACAAATGGCCATAAGTTGAGGACTACCTGTATAAATGCAAGCTGAAGTAATTGTATTAATTTAGAGTCATGCTTTATGGTTCATTATGGGTCAAGTAACAATTGCCGCCTATATCAGTTGTGTTGGTTCAAGCTTTAAACTCTATGAATTTGCTCACTTTTTAGAATAATCAGATTTGATGTCATTAACCCTTTCTGTTTCACATGAGGAGTATCTCCAAATTCACATGAAAGAGATACTTAGTGTCCTCCTGCAGCAAAGCCACTGACTTAAACCATCCAGTTATCTGCTTTTCTTGCTCATTTTAATATTGGAGCAGCAGCTGGCCCGCCACAAAGTAGGACGATTTATCTTTTTAAATTGAGAGATGCATGATATGATTTGGGAACCAGAACTAACTTGCAACCTTCGAGAGTCTAACCTGCCTT